TTCCCTGTGTCCTCCTCCTTCCCCTTGTTCGTTTCCCCTCCGTTCTCTACTCGCCTCCTCACCTCACCTCACCGCACATCTCCTCCTATCCTATCCTCTCCTCTCCTCTCCTCTCCTCTCCTCTCCTCTCCTCTCCTCTCCTCTCTCCTCCTAGGAGATTTCCATCGCCGAAGTTCTCGAAACCCGTATTCCAACCCCCCTCCACCCTTTTACAATATTGAAGACCCCTCCTTTTCATACTAATTTCCCTCCACCCCTACTAACTAATTGTACCGTCCCACCCACCCCCCTTGTCTATGACCACCAAAAGGCCTACCTTGCTGAGCGAGCAAAATTTCTGCCCTAGTCTCAGTCTAATTGGTGCCTTAGGGATTTTTTGCTGCCTTTTCTCAGCAGTCGCAATGGCGGCAGCGATACATGCGTCGGCAATCGACCGCATCGTTCGCCATGCTTCTGTCTCCTCCTCCTTTTCGTCGTCATCATCTCCTTCTCCCTCCTTGTTAGTACCGGCTTCCTCCGCCTCCTCCTCCCTCTCGACCCTGGTACAGGAGCTGGAGAGTCTCAGCAAGTTGGCTGGGCTGGTGTCAGACAGTGAGAGTTGTCATCTTGCTTCCTTGCCTGATGGATCGAGCAGAGGACGAGGAACGCAGGAGAGAGTTCTTCTGTCTCAGACGCTACATCCCCTTCATCGTCAAGCTCTCTAGCAAGGTTTGCCTTGTCCCAACCCTCTGGGGGATGATCGCCTTGTAGATCGGAGAGAACTACCTCTCACTGCTGAGCGAGGAGGAGCGGAGCAAGTGTTACGATGTATTCTTCATCAGCAAGTGATGATATCCTTGGTGCAGTAACGAGCTTGTCTGGTCACCCGCTGCTGCAGGTTCATCGAGGGTGCCGGTCCCTCCCTTCTGGGCCTCAACAACGCGCTGAAGCAGAGTGGGAACTCGTTTACTATCAAGTGAGTTGAGACAAGAACGAGCTGAGGAGATCTGACAAATACGAGGAAGCTACCACTGCAACCTCATTCAAACATGGTTCTCCTCGGGGGGGATCACAAACTTCATGCGAGACTTGATGGACCAGAGTGCTGCCGGGGAGAACGAGGAGGATGCTGAGCAGGTGACCCTGTGACGTCTGTGCCTCACGCCTTGACGATGCTCAGGTGCTAGTGTCTCTGCCGGATCGCATCGGCAATAAACTCGACGGAAAGGTCCCCAAGTTCTTCCACCCCAAGGAATACTTTCCTTTCCTCCTAACAGCCTGTCTCCGTTTCCTCGAAGAAACCCCAATTCAAGTCGGCGAAGAGGACGAGGACTCGCTCGTAGCCTTGAAGCCTTGCCTTGCTTTCGCCGGTTCTCTCTTCGGGAAGATGGCGATCACCGGACAGTCTCAGCTATCGGCGACTTGGCTGTTGAGGCACCTGGTGGTGGCGGAGGAGGACAAGGGGCCGGAGGAAGGGAGCAAGGTTTCATCCTCTATTGTTGATGAAGTGACGGCAAAGAAGCGGATGGTAGAGGAGACGTTGAGCAAGTACAACAAGCGGAGGTCGATCATCATCGCTCGAAACATCCTGGGCAACCTCAAATCTCGTCACCTCGACACCTTCCTGCACCACCTCATCTCTTCCGCTCCCAGCGACCTGGTCGGAGAAAGGCCGACGCTCGGAGAGGGCAGGGTGAACTCACTCGTTGTTGACCTGGTGGCTCCGATGTGCTTCGAGGACGAGCGAGTGCGAGACCTGCTGTTCCGAGAGCTCATGATCAATCGAGTCTCGCTGCAGAGAGGTTGTAAAGAACGAATCTTGCTCATGGTCTTGAGCACAGACTATCTTGAGGTAAGCGAGAGAGTGAGAGTCAGGAGCGAGTGGGTGGGAGGAGAGAGAGAGAAAGTGGAGGGCAGGAAGGAGACCAACAGGCAGACAGGCAGAGAAAGAGGAGTAGAGGGAGGGGAAGGGGGAGGGGAGTGCTGGGGTTTGTACTGATCACATCACATTCACAGATGAGTCGGTACGAAGGGAAGCGAAGCAACTTGTATGCGGTCACGAGATCTCTGTCAGAGCTGTTTGCCAGCGAGAGCTACACTAAGACGAGGGACGAGGAGCACCAGTCTCGGGTCTTCTGGTTGCTCGTCCGATGTTTGGTGATGACCTCCTTCTTGCCGCTTCTTGTCCTGACCCTCCAACTCCAGCATGCGATGGGAGGCCGAGCAGCCATCGAGGAGGCTCAGGTTGTCACGTTTGTCTTGGAAGCTATCCAGGTCCAGCATCTTAGAAACTTCCGCCCCTGCCCCTTCCCCTGCCCCTGCCCCTGCCCCTGCCCCTGCCCCTGCCCCTGCCCCTGCCCCTGCCCCTTCCCCTTCCCCTGCCCCTGCCCCTGCCCCTGCCCCTTCCCCTTCCCCTGCCCCTGCCCCTGCCCCTGCCCCTGCCCCTGCCCCTGCCCCTGCCCCTGCCCCTGCCCCTGCCCCCTGTTTCCTCTTGATCTCCCTCCGCCTTGCGTTTCTCCTCTCGGTTCTCCTGCTTCTGATCCTTCAGCCGATGCCTCTGCTTCCTCTGCCATCACATCGGATATAAGTCCCCCTCCTTCTCTTCCCAGCTGACAACCTTGTGGTCGCTCATGTTGGCTGACATCGGTCATCAGCTGCGGCTTGCAGGGCACGTGGACTGGATGCGCCGGCACGGAATGCAACTCGCCGAGCAGTTCTCCATCATCTGGAACCCAGACAACCCCATCAAGTTCGAGGAGGACGAGGCATCGTCCCTGCCGCATGCTCAGGATGCTTCCGAGCCACACCAGGACGAAAGAAAGGGGAGGAATGGGAGTATTTCTCAGGGGCAGCCGAATGACGGGGAGGTTACAGTGGAGGAGGACAAGGAGAAGAAGAAGAAGACGAGACCGAAGAGGAGACGGCAGCAGACAAGTGGCCGCAGGAAGTGGCAGGCATGTCAGGACCCGGATCGGATCATCTTGTCGAGCGCTAGCGAGAGCGAGAGCGAGGAGGAGGGAGGCAGTGACTCGTGCACGGACGAGGAGGAGGCTGGAGGACCAGCAGCACGTGCAAGTCACCTCATCGACGACGGCGACAGCGACAGCGACGATGGTCTCGTTCCCTACCAGGTGGAGGAGAGCGAGCTTGAGAACTGCTTCGCCCGGCAGGCAGCAGTGGAGGAGAGAGACGTCGAGTCAGACCTGGTGCCCTTGCGGTATGGGGAAGGAAGAGTCTCCCTGCCTACGAACCTGCGGCAGTGCTTGCGAGGGCTGACCAGTCAGAACCCAGACGAGGTTTGTAAGAAGTAGGATAGGGGAGGAAGATGGGCAAGGAGCAGGAGCAGGAGCAGGAGCAAGAGCAGGAGCAGGAGGAAAGGGGGGGGGGAGAAGGAGCCTTTCTGACATTGACCCTGCAGATTGAAGCTCCCATGTTCGCTCTTCCAGAGCTTGTTGAGTCCTCCAACATGTTTATTGAGAAGACTACGCAGAGATGGCAAATAATTTGCCCTCCGACCAGCTT